GGTGTGCAATTAATTGTCTACGAGATTTTATTCTATTTTTAAAACTTTAAGTATTTAAAATGGATTAAAAATCATGTCTATAGCCCGAGTTCCCATCCCCTGTTATTTTATATAAGAATATTCGAGAAAGTTTAGGGGAGATCACTCCCGGTTTATTTATTTCGCGTTCACTTGGTGTGCAATAAATTTGTCTACGAGATTTTATTCTATTTTTAAAACTTTAAGTATTTAAAATGGATTAAAAACCATGTCTATAGCCCGAGTTCCCATCCCCTGTTATTTTATATAAAAATATTCGAGAAAGTTTAGGGGAGATCACTCCCGGTTTATTTCCTTAATAACCAACATTACCTTGTGTGGCCTAGAAGTCTGGTCACTCACCAATTCACCGCATAGCACATATTTCTGACCTTATTTAAAAAAAAACCGAAAAAAAGGGGGAGTTAAATCTGCATGATTTAAAAAAAAAATTAAATTATAACGGTGAAATGATTGACGGCAGATGCAATGCCTCGTGATTTTATTTTGAAGCAACACCGATATCGATTACTGGATGGGATTTAAAAGATTGTGTTTTTTAACAAAACAGTGAGCATTCGATCAGCGGGTATTATATTGATGTGATTTAAGATTGTATTTCTGTTTTTCGTTTGATGCGGTTTTCTAGCTCACTACTGCATGACAATCTGATGAAACCGGTTACCCCCGACTGTCTGAAATATTGCATACACAATCGCTTCACACGCCTAGAGATCAAAGAATCTGGTCAACTTTTTATATCTGGCACATCAACCGTTTGATTGGATACTTTATGCACTCGATAGTTGACCCTGTGCGGACGGTCCTACCCATTCTCCAGCTACTGAGGTAAAAACGTTTCGTCAAAAATAAATTTCCAATTTCTCGTGGCCCCGGTAAAAGGACTGTGATTAATGAACTAATCAGGTCGTTGAGAGGTGTTTTTTTTACAGTGAAATGTACTGAGTACTATAGCAGTTATGTAATCACGTGAAAAGTCTGCAGCAGGGTCACGTGAAATTTGGTTAGTGTTGTGACAGGTTTATGTGGTCACGTGAGTACTGTGGCAGGGGTATGTGGTCACGTGAGTACTGTGACAGGTTTATGTGGTCACGTGAGTACTGTGACAGGTTTATGTGGTCACGTGAGTACTGTGACAGGTTTATGTGGTCACGTGAGTACTGAGGCAGGGTTATGTGGTCACGTGAGTACTGAGGCAGTGATATGTGGTCACGTAGCTTCAGCACTAAATGACTGTATGGTTAATTATCGAAAGTACCCGGCCTTTTTTTTATGAGCACCGACAATTTGTTATTAAAATCAAATTCTGCTGACAAACCTGACTACATATAATAACTAATACTATACTTGTTTTATGATACTTGGTGTAACGAATGTATGCATATCCCTGCTGTTCCTGAATTGATCAAACAATGTCTTACTACGAGGATTTTTCATTTTAAAATGTCATCTGGACAAGATACGTGACTTAAGTGCACTACTGGAATGGGTGTCAAGTGATTTCATAAGAAAACAAATAATGCTTTGTTTCATAATACCGATCTTTGTATCGTAATTTCGACAATGGTTTTGTACGTTGTAACAGTTAGCTTCATCTAAGTTAGATGAAACTAATTGCTTTTAATGCGACTGTTGGCGGTGTATCGTAATTTGGACAATAGGTTTTGTACCTTAGATGAAGGTAATTGCTTTTAATGCGACTGTTGGCGGTGTATCGTAATTTGGACAATAGGTTTTGTACGTTAGATGAAGGTAATTGCTGTTAATACAACTGGTGGCTGTGTATCGTAATTTGGACAATGGTACGTTAGATGAAGCTAATTGCTTTTAATACAACTAGTGGCTGTGTATCGTAATTTGGACAATGGTACTTTAGATGAAGCTAATTGCTGTTAATACAACTAGTGGCCGTGTATCGTAATTTGGACAATGGTTGTGTACGTTAGATGAAGCTAATTGCTGTTAATACAACTAGTGGCCGTGTATCGTAATTTGGACAATGGGTTTTGTACGTTAGATGAAGGTAATTGCTTTTAATACAACTAGTGGCCGTGTATCGTAATTGCTCACACTCAAGCCGCCGTACTCACCCTTATTCTGGGTGACATCACCGGAACTACTCGCGACAATTTAATTCCCTTCCGTCGTTCCATTTCTCCCAGACTTCTCCCCCTTGCTTGCCTTCTCTCGGCCATCTCTCGCACGCGAGACGAGAGTGTCTCGCACGAGCTCGTGACGTGGTAGTAGGCGGCGCGTGTGGCCTCTCCCTTTTAGGGCTTCCTCGTGCCCTGACCAGTCGAATCCCACTTGTAGTAATCCTAGTTGATGAATGAACTCTACGGCTGTAAAGTATCGCGAGTTTTGGTTTAAAGAAAAAACCGTTTTTTCTGTATTTTACATAGAGAGAAAAACTTAGCCTAGCGGGTTTTTTTTCCTGACTGTAACAATCGTAAATAATTAGGTTAAAGATTATTTCTAGTTCCAACAACGTCACGTGTTCACGCTGCTTTTGGTCCGACACCGTAAGTATTGATTGCTTTAATAATTAACGAATATACTTGAGTGTCCTTGTTACTTTTCGGTCGAGGAATCACTAGATATTATTTTGGGCTAATTAAAGGTCATTATTTGGACAAATTTGAGGTTATTATTTGGAGCTTATTACACGAAGTATTGATTAAGGGTGTATTTTCGTTCTTAGGGTAATAACCAACAAATAGGCTACACCGATATTTTTTGTATTCGAACAATACAACTGCTGATACCTTCAGAATAGTTCTTGATATTTCATTTGTTACTCTGGTTGCAGAAAGCTCCGCTCAGCTTAGCCTACACTGGTATCTTCATTTGTAAGGGCGCCCATGTACCTGTTAATATTTGCGGATAGATTTCGGTTTCATAGGGGTCATCTATAAATGACGTCACGCTTTTTTGACGATTTTTACCTCCCCCCCTCCACTCCGTCAACGCGAAATAACGGCTAAAACTTGTTTTCTAACATTGCTTTTTTTTTTAATGCAAAAAAGTGACGTCACACCACCATCTGACCCCCCCCCCATCACACACCGTCACAAAATTACGGACCCCCCTCCCCCAATACAAGTGTGACGTCATTTATGGACGACCCCATAGTTTGTAGCTTTTGCTTTATTTATATGAAATATTATAGCTTAGACCCAACAAATGTATGGACACAGGTTCATAGCTGATTTTTGTCGTTGTACACAACTGTTATAAGTTTGCACCCATCTGTATCAGTGTCGGATAAGCAAGGAAACTGAAAGGACTATAATCAAAGACTCCCGTTCTGCTCATCATTATATTTTCTCCAAGCTTTCGCTTAAAAAGAACATTCTTGTTATGAAATAATATTTAAAAGACCCCCCCCCCCCCTCCCAATTACATGACGTTTCGCTTGTGTTTGATTTTAAAGTATTCGCCTATTTCAAGTTTCGATAACTTGAAACTATATTTAAACACGAAGGGAGATAACTCTGATTTTGTCACATCAACTTATTAAAGTGTCTCAACAATTAAGGTCAGTTTTGAGGTGGCATCCATCGAATGCATGGTTTACTTTGCTGCAGAACTAGCAGCCTTCATATCCCGCATGCCGGTTGATAGAGCGGCAGGCTTGGTCGCAAAATTCTCAAAAGTTTGTTTTTGATCTCATCATCATTCCTGTTGACCCCTCGTGGAGCATAGCGACGCACCACATATCTCAATTGTACTGTGTTAGGACGATTCCTCCAAGTTGGTTCTATAACATGTTGATCTCACTATATGACGGACGGACTCGGGATATACCCCCCCCCCCCCCCCACACACACACCCCTCCCCCAGCCCATCCAATCAGCCAGACCACGTAAGTCTTTGCATGTCACCAATTAAAGAAATCGATCTAACACTTTGATAGTGATGGTTACCCAGAGCAAGTAGATTGCTGTTTTTTTACACGTTTTTTATTACCAGTCGACGTCATTGATGCTCACACAACCGATCCCTGTGGTGCACCGCATGAACATGTGCTCTGCTTGTATGACGCGTGGTGCACCGCTTGTATGATCTGTGGTGCACCGCTTGTATGATCTGTGGTGCACCGCTTGTATGATCTATGGGTGCACTATGCACCACTTGTATGCCATGTGGTGCACCGCGCGAGCATGTGCACCGCTTTAATGACATGTGGTGCACCGCGCGAACATGTGCACCGCTTTAATGACATGTGGTGCACCGCGCGAACATGTGCACCAATTGTATGACCTGTGCCACACGAACATGTGGACCGCTTGTATGACGCGTGGTGCACTGTGCATCGCTTGTATGATCTGTGGTGCACCGCTTGGGCGACTGCTGTGCACTTGTCGTAATTAAATATACTGCAACAGTTTAAACACGAATTAAAACATTATTATTGTGAACATTCTAACCAAACCCAAGACCGTCCTCACAACCCCAAAGTCCTATTTAAAGTCAGTCATGTATCAGTGATAGAAGCCTTTCTGGTCGAAATACCCGCAAGCTTATCAGTCTCCTCAATCAATATTTACCTTAGTCAGATCCCCCCAACTGCACTGTTCAATATGTCAATCGTGTGCTATTTTCAACGTTCAACTAGTTTATCAAATCCACGTTGTTAGCCACTTCATGTTTTATAAACCCAGTCAAGCGTGGCCGGTTACGTGACCTACTTCTGTACACGTTAAACTAGGCCCCGCCCACCCTGTGCCTGGTGTTGTCCCCTTAAGTTACACATCGCTACACTCACAAACCGGTTGGGTGTTTATAAGTTGGAGTTTATTTACAGCCATTGATTGTTATTGTGTGTTTAGATTTTAACTTGTTGACTTATCTCCCTGTAGTTGCCAGCACACTGCTACAGTATCTAGTTGGCCGGCAGGGGAGATAACACTTCGTGTGAAATCAATAGTAAGTCTAATGGTTGTTTGATGTTGATACAGACGTTCATTGCTGTTAGTTTTGGATTGTATTTCGTTGGTGGTGGCTAACTATAAATTGTAGGATTTAGGGGTCAGATTGTTGTGAAAGTGTAGAGGTAAGTGTAGTGTATACAGTGTTCCAGGTAAATTTTTACTTGTGTTAAAAAAGTGTCCTGATTTCTTGTGTTGGCCAATTATCACTTGGCCAATTATCATGGCCCTTGCTATGAATACCCTGTTCCTTCTGTTGACCAAGTGTCCTAGTTCTTCTTTTGGATGTCCTGCTCCCTATGTAGGACAAGTGTCCTGGCCCTTTTGATGACCAATAGTCTTGGTCCTTATTTTGAGCAAACCTCCTTCTCCTTGTGCTGACCAATAGTCTTTGTCCTTGAGCTGTCCAAGTGTTCTGAGCTAAACAAATGTCTTGGTCCTTGAGCTAAACAAATGTCTTGGTCCTTGAGCTAAAAAAATGTCTTGGTCCTTGAGCTAAACAAATGTCTTGGTCCTTGAGCTAAACAAATGTCTTGGTCCTTGAGCTAAACAAATGTCTTGGTCCTTGAGCTAAACAAATGTCTTGGTCCTTGAGCTAAACAAATGTCTTGGTCCTTGAGCTAAACCAATGTCTTGGCCCTTCAGCTAAACAAATGTCCTTGCCCTTGAGCTAAACAAATGTCCTGGCCCTTGAGCTAAACAAATTTCCTGGCCATTGAGCTAACCAGATTTCCTGGCCCTTGAGCTAAACAAATATCCTGGTCCTTGAGTTGACCAGGTGTCCTGGCCCTTGAGCTAAACTAATTTCCTGGCCCTTGAGCAGCCAAGTATTCTGTCCTTGGAGATATCAACTGACCACTGGTCCTTACATAATCAACTGACCACTGGTCCTAACATTGAGAAATCAACTGACCACTGGTCCTAACATTGAGAAATCAACTGACCACTGGTCCTTACATAATCAACTGACCACTGGTCCTAACATTGAGAAATCAACTGACCACTGGTCCTAACATTGAGAAATCAACTGACCACTGGTCCTTACATAATCAACTGACCACTGGTCCTAACATAGAGATAAACTGACCACTGGTCCTAACATTGAGAGATCAACTGACCACTGGTCCTAACATTGAGAAATCAACTGACCACTGATCCTAACATAGAGAAATCAACTGACCAGTGGTCCTTACATAATCAACTGACCACTGGTCCTAACATTGAGAAATCAACTGACCACTGGTCCTAACATAGAGATATACTGACCACTGGTCCTAACATTGAGAAATCAACTGACCCTGGTCCTTACATAAACTAACCACTGATCCTAACATTGAGAAATCAACTGACTACTGATCCTAACATAGAGAAATCAACTGACCACTGGTCCTACCATTGAGAAATCAACTGACCACTGGTCCTACCATTGAGAAATCAACTGACCACTGGTCCTACCATTGAGAAATCAACTGACCTCTGGTCCTAACATAGAGATCAACTGACCAATGGTCCTAACATTTAGAGAAATCAACTGACCACTGGTCCTTACATAATCAACTGACCACTGGTCCTTACATAATCAACTGACCACTGGTCCTAACATAGAGAAATCAACTGACCACTGGTCCTACCATTGAGAAATCAACAGACCACTGGTCCTACCATTGAGAAATCAACTGACCACTGGTCCTACCATTGAGAAATCAACTGACCACTGGTCCTAACATTGAGAAATCAACTGACCACTGGTCCTAACATTGAGATAAACTGACCACTGGTCCTAACATAGAGATAAACTGACCACTGGTCCTAACATAGAGATAAACTGACCACTGGTCCTAACATAGAGAAATCAACTGACCACTGGTCCTACCATTGAGAAATCAACTGACCACTGGTCCTACCATTGAGAAATCAACTGACCACTGGTCCTACCATTGAGAAATCAACTGACCTCTGGTCCTAACATAGAGATCAACTGACCAATGGTCCTAGCATTTAGAGAAATCAACTGACCACTGGTCCTTACATAATCAACTGACCACTGGTCCTAACATAGAGAAATCAACTGACCACTGGTCCTACCATTGAGAAATCAACAGACCACTGGTCCTACCATTGAGAAATCAACTGACCACTGGTCCTACCATTGAGAAATCAACTGACCACTGGTCCTACCATTGAGAAATCAACTGACCACTGGTCCTACCATTGAGAAATCAACTGACCTCTGGTCCTAACATAGAGATAAACTGACCACTGGTCCTAACATTGAGATAAACTGACCACTGGTCCTAACATTCATTGAGACATCAACTGACCACTGGTCCTAACATAGAGATATACTGACCACTGGTCCTAACATTGAGAAATCAACTGACCACTGGTCCTAACATTGAGATAAACTGACCACTGGTCCTAACATAGAGATAAACTGACCACTGGTCCTAACATAGAGATAAACTGACCACTGGTCCTAACATTGAGATAAACTGACCACTGGTCCTAACATTCATTGAGACATCAACTGACCACTGGTCCTAACATAGAGATATACTGACCACTGGTCCTAACATTGAGAAATCAACTGACCACTGGTCCTAACATTGAGAAATCAACTGACCACTGGTCCTAACATTGAGATAAACTGACCACTGGTCCTAACATAGAGATAAACTGACCACTGGTCCTAACATAGAGATAAACTGACCACTGGTCCTAACATAGAGATAAACTGACCACTGGTCCTAACATAGAGATAAACTGATCACTGGTCCTAACATTGAGAAATCAACTGGCCCCTGGTCCTTACATAGAGAGATAAACTGACCACTGGTCCTAACATTGAGAAATCAACTGACCACTGGTCCTAAGATTGAGAAATCAACTGACCTCTGGTCCTAACATTGAGAAATCAACTGACCACCCATCAATTGAAGGCTTCCCATATTGACATAGTCCACTGACACTGGTAGCCATTACAGTAATAAAATATTGCTCACAACTCTACTGCTTTGTAGGTAAGTTTCTTGTCTGGAGCAGGTAAAACTATCCAGGTGTAAAACAACAGGTATCTGTTTAGACTCTGTCACCTGGCACTCATTCCCTGTTATAGTTTTTTAAGTCAGTTAAAACATATTTTTGTTTCCTGGTGTTGGTCTAGTTAATGAATGCTAACATTTCTTTTTTTTTTTACATCACACACAGCTTGTTAAATTATTTAACAGCTGGGTTGTGTTTTTGTTTAAGATAATATAATATTGTAAATTCTAGGTAAGCTTGAAATGTGTTGCCATGGTAACACTTCAAAGTGTGTGGTAATGATTAATCTGTGTTACATTTTTTTTTACATTCGGTAAAGGTAAAGTTGTACATTTTTTTCAAGTTTATCACTGAATACATATTACAGTGCTTAATTTATCTTTAAAATATTCATGTTCATGTTGACATTTCATGGAATCAGATAACCAAGGAGCTGAGTAATTTTGAATAGAATTCAGCAGCAGTCTAATAACAATCCACCCAGTCAACTAGTAATCCACCTTGTTGACCAAAAATCCACCGTCCTCAAGCACTCCACACAATCCACCAACAGTCCATTATAATAGACCACTCTGAAACTGTCTCTGAACATTTTTTCTTACCTCACCATGTATTCCTTTCAATGTCCTTTGACTCTTCTTCCTGTCTGTATCTGGCCTGTGATCAACCAAAGATAAAACCCATTTAAAACTTATTGATTTTATTTTACATCAGGCCTGTGGCATACAGCAGTTGATTAAACATAAAACAACCCCCCCCCCCCCCCCCCCTTACTTTAAACCACACTGATATGATAACTGAATTATCTGTATTGAATGCATTGTTGTAGAAGGAAAAACCCTTCCCCCCCGCCCCTTCCCCCCGCCCCGTCCCCTGATGCACTAGCTGGATGATTGATTACCTGAATAATGTTTTATCTCTCTAGATATGAGTTTCTTTGTGAGCGATATTTGTATGGGTTGTTTCTTTTTTTCTGCTACAAATGAATGGTTGAAATGTCCACATAGTCTGACAGGAAATCAACTAGCAAAAGTTTTTTACCTTAGTTATAAGCTGTCTTACACAAACTTATTATCATTATTAGGAAATGTTTAGAAAACATTCTTTTATTTTGATATTGACAGTAATAAGCCAAGCAACCTGGCTTAAAAAGAAGTTTAGGAATAATTAAATCCCTTTAATTAGCAATTAAATCAGCAAGTTTAAAAATCTGTTTAAATAAATTAAATAAATTATAAACTTTGTTTAGATTTAATTTACTTTTTTTGCTTCTAAGTGAGGCTTTGAGCATCACTAGAAACATCTTTTCAAATGTCTGTCTTATTGTGATGTATTTACGATAGAACTCGGCTAAACAGCTTTTCAACAACTCTTATTGACATTATGTTGATAGATACAAAAATTGTTTATAAGATGTGTATTGATTTTTTACCCTTACAAAATTGTGTTATAGATTTCTTATAAGTTGTTCAGTTTGACAACAGGTTTGTTGTAGCTACTTCCTTGTTAAAGAAAATATCCAAACCATGCACATTCATGTATAGTTAAGATTTATATTGATTAAATCAATCAATAGTTGGTAAAAAAGAGAGATCACAGCAGTGGTTTACATAGGGGCAGTGTACAGGTTGTATTTTGTGTCTGCGTGTAAATATATAGGCCCCTTGGAGAGCTGAGATATGTAGTGTTTTCAGCTGAGGCTTGTTGCTGAGATTTGTTTTTCTTTAGTTTTGTTGCTACATTTTTCATTGCTGAGGTTTGTGTCTGAGATTTGTTTCTTAGTTTTCTTTCTATATTTTGTATTGCATAGCTTTGTTGCTGAGATTTGTGTCTCAGACTTGTTTCTTAGTTTTCTTTCTAAATTTTCTGTTGCATAGCTTTGTTGCTGAAATTTGTGTCTGAGATTTGTTTTTTAGTTTTCTTTCTATATTTTTGTTGCATAAATTTGTGTCTGAGATTTGTGTCTGAGATTTGTTGTTTAGTTTTCTTTCTATATTTTGTATTGCATAGCTTTGTTGCTGAGATTTGTGTCTAAGACTTGTTTCTTAGTTTTCTTTCTATATTTTCTGTTGCTTAACTTTGTTGCTGAGATTTGTGTCTGAGACTTGTTTCTGGGCTTTGTTGTGAGAATGGCTTTATGTTTCTCTCTCTATGTTTCTTCTCTCTCCTGCAACATGAAGGAAATCTAGCAAATAGCAAACCTCCATCAAATGTTTACCCGACAGCTGCATTTCCTGATGGTCAATGAACTTGAATTCATTAAGCACTCTTGTGTTAGCTGTATTGAATGTCTCAATCAATAATTAAAGCTTATTCAGGCCTGCACATCAGGTTGTACAGCAATCACAGTAAAAGCATTTATCCCTTGTTGAGTGATTACATGTTCTGGTAGTTTGTGTAGCAATCACAGTAAAACCATTTATCCCTTGTTGAGTGATTACATGTTCTGCTAGTTTGTGTAGCAATCACAGTAAAAGCATTTATCCCTAGTTGAGTGATTACATGTTCTGCTAGTTTGTGTAGCAATCACAGTAAAAGCATTTATCCCTAGTTGAGTGATTACATGTTCTGCTAGTTTGTGTCCATTAGAAATCAATGCTGTAATTTTTGTGGAGGAATTGAAGATTTAGTTTGACATTTAAGGTTATGTCATTTCAAAATTTGATATCAAGATTTTAAATAAAGCTGTGTTTTTAGATTGTGTTGATAATTTTGTTGTGAATATTTTTTTTTCCAATTTAAATTTTTTTTGCTTCATTTAATTTCCCTGATCATGGATATTTAAAACATGCCTTTTTCTGAGTTTCATTTTGTTATGGCCACTTTGAAATAATCTTTAATGTATACATCTATAGCTGACGGTTAGGAAAATTCATTTACACAGCATCAAGATTTATCTTTTATTTTTGTTGTGGTATAAGTTAACGTTTACAAACAATGGCTATTTTTTTGCTTGTAGTTTATGCTGTGGTTAGAGTTGTTTTTTTAAACAAACATTTAAAAACATTTTTTTTTTAAATTTCCAGTCCAGGTTCTCAGAAAATTTTCTCTAACAGTCGACAGAATGAGTAAAGAGCTGCGACCTATTGTGATGAGCGGCCCTTCAGGCAGTGGGAAGAGCACTCTCCTGGAGAAACTGTTTGCAGAATTCCCAGGATGCTTTGCTTTCAGTGTCTCACGTAAGTAGTCTGAGACAATTTTTTAATGGGGACACAAATGTGATGCTGGTTTTGTTGCTACTTTACAAGCTTACCCTGGGTTAGTTAATGCTGAAGAAAGTTAATGTAGAACTGTTTCCTTAACTTGTATTTGATAATTTGTATTACTGGAACTTGCTTTTATTTGATAATTTGTATTACTGGATCTTGCTTGTATGTGATGATTTGTATTACTGGATCTTGCTTGTATTTGATAATTAGTTTTACTGGAACTTGCTTGTATTTGATAATTTGTATTACTGGAACTTGCTTGTATTTAATGATTTGTATTACTGGATCTTGCTTGTATTTGATAATTAGTTTTACTGGAACTTGCTTGTATTTGATAATTTGTATTACTGGAACTTGCTTGTATTTAATGATTTGTATTACTGGATCTTGCTTGTATTTGATAATTAGTTTTACTGGAACTTGCTTGTATTTGATAATTTGTATTACTGGAACTTGCTTGTATTTAATGATTTGTATTACTGGATCTTGCTTGTATTTGATAATTAGTTTTACTGGAACTTGCTTGTATTTGATAATTTGTTTTACTAGAACTTGCTTGTATTTGATAATTTGTATAACTGGAACTTGCTTGTATTTGATAATTTGTATTACTAGAACTTGCTTGTATTTGATTGTTTGTATTACTGGAACTTGCTTGTATTTGATAGTTTGTATTACTGGAACTTGCTAAGATACCTGAATTATCTGTTTACAGATACAACAAGGTCACCAAGACCAGGAGAGAAGGATGGAGTAGGTGGGTACATCTTTAACACCTGTAAGAACTCTAAATCTTGTACACTTGCACAACACATGTTAATGTTGTATATCTCAGTTTGTATACCTGCTAATTTTGTACAGCACATAATTTTTGTATTCTAAATCTTGTACACTTTAACACATTACAGACATTTGCATTTTCTTCAGTTTTTACACTTTTTGAATTTTGTTACTTCTACACATTTTATATACCATTAAATCTTGTGGCCTAGTGGCAGAGAGCTAGACTGCTAACCTGAGAGTCTCGAGGTCAAATCAGGGTTCAAATCAGTGGAACTTCCCTGAGTTCACCCAGCTCTGATCAGTACCTAACTCACGTTAGGGAAACAAAGGCGGCTGGGCATAGTGCTGACCTTGCTATCCCTTTATATGCCGAGGTTTCTGAAGCAGACAAACTCTACTTCATCTGCCTCTTGTCTCTTGGGCACGAATGGGAAAGGATAATGATGATGAAATTTTGTACAATCCATGTACATCTTGTACATATCCCCCCCTCCCCACACAATTTCAAGTTTTCTGCATCTTCCCCAGTTTCTCCTTTTCTTAAGGTTTTACAGTTGTAAATAGAAAACCAGTTGTAATATTCTAGGAATTTTTATTTTATATGTTGTTAGATTATGTTTTTAAATTGTTTTACATTTGGCTATCCCCAGCATATTTTTTTGTGAAACGTGAGGAGTTTGAAAAACTAAAAGCAGAAAATGGTTTTCTAGAGAATGCAGAGTTCTCTGGCAACCTGTATGGAACTAGGTATGTCACTTGTTTTTGTAGTTGCTATAAAAACTCAACTCTGAATGTTTGGATGTTATATAACTTGTCTACATCTGTGATTGGTTTTAAATTTATATATATTTTTTTACATTATTATTATTAATAACTAATGTCTTTCTCTATTAAAAATTTAAAAAATTGTGTTTTCAGTAAAAAGTCAGTGAACGATATCATGAAGTCAGGGAAACTGTGTGTCTTAGATGTGGAGGTGAATGGTGTCAAGAATATTAAAAAGTCAGACTTCAAACCTAAGCCTAGATATATTTTTGTCAAGCCACCAAGTATAGAGGAATTAGTGAGTTTCACTTCATTTTATGTTAAAAATTTATTTTAAAAAAGTATAATTTTATTTTTGAGATTTCAATAAAACACCTAATGTGAAAATATAAAAAACATATGAGGCTGATCGTAAGTTCCATGTTGGTAATAATAAGTTGTTCCGCAGTGGGATACACTACTGCCCACAACTTTGTGTTAAAGTTTAATTCACTGTGTCGACCACACAACTGAATTTTGTTTTTAAGTTTTCCTAATCATCATGGCATAAAGTTGAATTTTGTTTTGACCTTGTACATTTTCTGTTGCTTATGTTATGTAATGCTTTTACAACTGTTTTTTTTTTTGTTCCAGAGAAAAAGACTAGACCATAGAAACACAGAAACAAAAGAAAGTCTAGAGAAAAGAATCAGTGCAGCTAAAGAAGCCTTTGAATATGGTCAGTTTTTTAATATATGAAAAAAAAACAAAAAAACATTCTCTTTTTCTCAATATAATGATTTTATTTTGTAGTCTATTTTACGATTTTTGGACTTAGCAGTTAAACATATTTTTAAGAGCATACAAACTGAAGCTTAAAAGTAATAAGTAAATTGTCAGTTTTGTTCAACTTAAAAACAATATGCAAGATGTTGTCATTCCCTTATCCCCAGTAAAATTTCTAGCTCTAAATTTAAGCATGGTATTTTGTGTGCAGCATAACGCAATATAAGTAGTTATTTCATCTACAGCTGAACAAGATGGTGCTTATGATCACATTATTGTTAACAATGATTTGGAAGTTGCATATAAGGAGCTGAAAGACATCTTACAAAGTGTATGTACACACATTTTAAATACTTTTGTTTTGTTTAACTCTAAAAATATTGGTATTTGTATGCATATGTGTATTAATATAAATACATATGTATGTTTATTATGTTTATTATGATATTGTTTACTAACTTTTGTCTTCTCTCTTTTCAGGATATTAAATTAGTTCAAGACACATTACACCATAAAGGGAAATAATTAGTTAGTCAATCAGGTTATTAAATCATGTTTTGTTGTATTGTGTAGGCCTATGTGATAATCTTCACAAAAATATTTCTGGTGAGATTTTATTAAAACTATTTTAAGCAACATCACTCCACATTTTACTTGTTGTAATAATCCACAGGCAAAATAGGTTTATATTTGCACTTTGTATGCATTTTAGATTTTTTAAAAATTTGTTCTGATCTGCTATAGAAATTGGTTTTGTATGAAGACAATAATTAGAAAAAGTAGGTATTTTTGTGGTAATATATTCTAAAATCTATTTTGTTGTTGTTGGATAAAATATAGTTTTTTTTAATGGATACTAATTAGAAAAAGTAGGTATTTTTGTGGTAATATATTCTAAAATCTATTTTGTTGTTGTTGGATAAAATAGTTTTTTTTTAATGGATACTAATTAGAAAAGTAGGTATTTTTGTGGTAATATATTCTAAAATCTATATTGTTGTTGTTGGATAAAATAGTTTTTTTTTAATGGATACTAATTAGAAAAAAAGTAGGTATTTTTGTGGTAATATATTCTAAAATCTATTTTGTTGTTGTTGGATCAAATAGTTTTTTTTTAATGGATACTAATTTAAAACAAAAAACCTTTTTAGCCCAGGTACATTGGCTAGTTTTTATTTTTAAACTTTATCTGCAGATTGAAAATGTAATTTCTTCTTTCACTGTTTCTAGCACATATTTTTCTATGCTGTAGTTAGTATTTTCCCCAACAACTTGTGTCAGACTTTTCTATTTTCTTACAAATGGCTTAGTTAACATTGTATCAATTGGACATCTATAAATATCCTTATGTATTATGTTAACTAACACCTAGTGATATGTATAGTGCCTTAGTAATGTTTTTTCTATTGTATGAACCCATCTGTTTTCCTTGCACAATAGGTAACAATTGTCATTAGAATAGTACTGATGTTTTATAATTTACTATTATAAAAAACTACTTAATACTTAAGGTAATTGTTCCATAATTGTTTTCTTAATTGCTGCTCATAACAATGTTTTTGTTATACACAGAGGTGCTGTTTATTCATTAAAATTTGGGATTTAAGAAAATATTGATAAAATAGAAAAAAGAAATTGATACAATAATTTTTTTTAATAAAAAAAGTTTTTTTTAAAATTAACATTATACAAATGTTGCAATAAAGAGGAGTTGTAAGCAATACTTAATTGTAATGAATAATATATTGTGTTGAGTTGAATGGATTTTAGTAATGTTTTTACCAGCCGTTGTGATAAATCTTGCCTACATGCAGAGGATTTGTTAAGTTGAAGGACATTAAGATGGCTCGGCAGTTTGAGTTGTATAGAAATACCTCACAACATTTGTTACATTGTTGTTTGTATAAATTGATTATTTATCTGGCTAGTTTAGAAATGTTTTGATTTGCTTATATTACTTACCTAATATCACTAGATGTTGATGCACAATTTTATTGTTTTATTGTTTTGCTGCAGATTTTTAAAAGCTACAGAAATACAAATGTAAAATAATAAAATTCCTGACATAAATTTTGTACAAGGCTGCTCAGTTTTAAATGCTAATTTAAATGTGGACCAAAATATTATTTCAATGGGTAAAAATGTTTTAATTTTTTTCCAAGAAAAATATTTTCTCTGTTGTGCAGATAAAGAAGAGATTGTCTCTGTGACTGAGCATGAGGGATCTTATTGACTAGGTCAACTCTACTTCATCTGCCCTGTTAACTGGCATGCATAAAAAAGATACTTTGATTTTTAGAAATCAATTAATGTTTTTCAAAATGTTTTTTTTTTCAAATTAAATCTGGCTTAATCATTCAGTTATAGTTTGATGCTTTATAGGCATACAGCAGCTGCTTTGAAATCTAACCAGTAGTATTTTATTATGTTGATTTGCTGGGGCACAAATTTAAGTGTGAATGTTTGCGGGTAGATTAATAAAGTTTTATGGTAAATTCAGTGTTTGTTTTATTCTGTTGTGATTTGTGTGTGATGGAAAATATTTTAATAGAACAAAAAAAACCTTAATCGTCAGCAGCTAAATGTACTAAAAGAAAAAGTTACTTCAGATACAATTAAAATGTTGGTTGCAAAAGTTCTTGAAAATATTTCTAGAGCGTCAAACTTTTATTTGTAGAGATGAAATCTAAATTTAATGTTTGTACAGTTATTGTTTTTAAGTGCATTAAGGTTTTTTTGACTTATTTTTTAATGTTGTAAAGATAAAGTCTATATTTTGAAATTACAGTTTTTTTAATTTGTGATTTGGTTCATTTATTTAATGTTACAAAAGGTACAACACCTCACATGACTAAAATTGTTTTATATTTTGATCAGTAACTCTAAGACAATTATCTGCCCCTTATTAGTGAAGAATAACCTGAATTTTGCTTATATTTCACCTTGTTTTAAAATTGAAAAATGGTAGCCTTTAAATTAATTCTTAATTACTATTTTAAAAATAATTTTAATATCCAAATACATTGAAAATTAGATACTGTTGTGGTTTCATTAGAAATACATTTTTCTGGAAACTTTAAAGCTAATATTAACAGAAGACTCTCTCCTGTATATTTGCCAAAGGGATATGTGTTACTTATGTATTTGCTGCTAAAATTAAACTTGGATGCTCTTCTTCAAAACAACGTTCTTACACAACAAACAAAAAAGAACCCTGATATAACCAATTTTATTTAAATCATAAAAAAAAAAAAATTTTAGCAAAAAAAAATATTAGCAATCACGAATGCTGACATTTTTACATCACGTTTTACAGCAACAAAAACATATGAACTTATAAATTATATGAAATTATAAATTATACAACTAGACAAAACCATGCATACCAACATCCAGTAAATGGATAAAAGCACATTTTTTTTCAGTACACAATGATTAATATGACACAAACTACCTCCTTATTAAAATACTGATATACATTTGCATTCTTCACTGACAATTGTGCAGATGACTGACTACTTCAATTCATGTTTAATATCAAACACACAATATTGGTTCTTGCACTCTTATATAACCACAAAAAAAACTAGCTGTTCTCTCCTTCAATTTCCTCCCCGCAAGCAAAACGCCTAAACTGTAGAACCTCAACGTTGTTAATTGCGACAAGCTCCCCCACCGTCATGGACGTGTCTAACAGATAATCTTGTGCCAACAGCCTATCCTCCTCCACAGTGGGTGTTTCTTTCGTCACCTCACTCTCCTCATCCTCTGTAGCAGCCTCATCTTTCTCTGGCTCTTCCGCCTGTTGCACCACCTCAGGTTCCTTTTGTTTGCTCTCTCTAGGCACATATTCTCCTATGGTTTTTGGGTTCATGCCAATCACATGCTGACACAGGTGCGTGCCCAGGTTTTTCAATGATGTCAAAGGTTTGTCTGTCTGGTTTTTCTGCTTCAGTTCTACAATAGCGCCATATTTTCCAGATATTACACGATCTTGTATTGGTGATGCTGAAGAAAATAAAGAATATATAAATCACAAAATCGAATTTGACAGAAATATCTGGTTATGAAGGTTACATGATGAATATGATGAATATCACATTACATAAATTGTTGGTTAAATTGATTTCTGATTCACAAAGAAAAAATTAATTAAACATCCAAGAATCAATTGTATAGATTACAGAGACTAGTGAAGCAAACATGAAAGTAAAGTGAAACTATGAATAGAGCAAGCGAGTTTTTATATTGATGAAGAAAATTAAAATTATTGTTATTAATTCACTCAGTTCTGCAGAAAATAAATAGCCAAAAGACCCACTCATTTATTCTATTAATACAATCTTTGATTTGACTGGATTGTACTACAAAGTTGCAGTGTTTGTTAGTGACACATATTCATGTAAGGGTTTTCACAATAACATTTTAAATATCAATGTTAGTAACACTACCTAAACAAACTATACCGAACCCACCCTAATCCATATAGTTGGGTATAATCTAAATCTTTTTAAAGTCATTAAAAAATAAAATGTAATTCCTTACCAGAAGGGTGGACATATGATATTAAAGTTGAGCCTGGGTTGGCTCTAACAAAGATACCCCGTCTGATGGCCATGTTCTCACCAAGGCTGGAAACATTCAGCACCACCAAGTCTGCTAGTGTGGACTGCTCACTTGTTTTGATTTGATCTAGCTCAAGTTTGCCTAGCGTCACCTACAAAAATTTCAGTTATTTGATAAAAATCAACTTAACAAACCAAACTTTTGTTAGTTTAATGTATGCTGCTTATATGCAGCTGGTGACTATTATTCTTGACATTTAGCAGGAAATATATGTTTAAAATATTCTTATTTAAATCAAATATTCACAATCTTAATCTTACACAGGTAAAAATTTATTTTGAACTTTTTACATGAGCTAAGAATAATAATAAGTCTCACCTCATTGTCTGGTAGTTTGTCAAAGTAACTGTTACACTCCTCTGCTAATTTGGTAACCATGTTTTTAAATGTTAAATTACGAGCCACAAAGTCTGTTTCACAATTGACCTGTTATAAGCAACCAAAATGAGATAAAAATAAAATATTTCAGGATAAAGAAAATCAACCCCAAGAAGGTTCAAGCACCTTTGTATTGTTTTAACCATTATTTTTAGAATAAGGCCCAAGCATGTAATCTACATGTACAATCATTAAAACTTCAAAACTCATACAGTCAACAAAATAACAGTCTGAATTTTAAAACGACGATAAATAGATCTTACAGCCAACTCAAATATTGAAAATAAGTTTTTTAAGCACAATTATAATTTAGAATTCCAAAAAAAAGTCCCTATATTTACATCCCTTTAAAAAAAAAGTCCAGTGAATTAACTGTTATTTTGAGAAGCTTGAAACTAATCATAAAGCAACAATATCAAATATTTTTAGAGGCAAAATGATTGGCCAGTGATATAGATCCAAAAGTCTTGAGATGAAAAAGGCATCTGTAAGGCAAGGCTATTAAGGAAGCTGAGCCTTAATCATCAAAGAGAAAAAATAAAATATTTAGTGTCTGCTTATTTTCACCCCACTTCATATTTACCAGCTAATTACCTCCCCTCTTCACATTTACCTCTACTTTAATTAACTGCTTATTACCTCTATCATAGTAGCTTGTTTGCTATCACCCAATATAGCAACAAGACCCTGAGACATTGGTCTTGACTGAAGTTTAGTAGCTCTGGCCCATCCTTCCTTTTTGGCTTCATCCAGTAACCATTGTTTAGCCTAATAAGATAAAATAGTGCTAATGTTATTTGAACTTCTAAAAACGAACAGCTTGTACTAACTTGTACTACACTACATGTGATCTGGCTTTTACAAAATGAGATTGCATTTTTAGATATGACTACATGACAATGTTATCTGATGATTTTAGTTTAATTGCGCTAGTGAGCAAATAAGGGAACTCATATGTAACTAATATAAGGGAAGCAAACTTCAGTCATGAACACTGTTAAGACTAGTTACTGTCAAATAAATGTGTACATTGTAAAGTAAATCAACTGCAGAGCAAGGATCCCTACACAGTTTTGCAATTTAATTTTTATCGCAGGTACAAAACATCACATTGCAGAGAGCACCAGCAATTTTTCATCCTTCACTATTAAAAGTAGTTCCACAGTTGGTGTACACAGCTGAAAAAGCAAACACATTTACCTGATCATAATTATTATCAAACTTGACAAGAGCCTTCTTGCAGTTTATAAAAGGTACGCCTGTCTGCTTCCTTAACTTGCTCAACAATGTTTTATCTGCAGCTGGTGCTGCTGCCTGGGAAAATGATCTAAACACATACCACAGTCTTGGTTTAACCACTATTAATCCTGTTGATGAAATAAAAATAATGTTAGGCCTATGATTACTACAATCTAAAATCTAAACCCATAAGAAGAGCATAATTTTACTATAATTTATAATAATATCTTCTTTTTACTAACTGCTAATGTAATCCGTAGGCCTTCTGTTGGCCTAATGCTTTACGTTTAAGAAGGTAAAGAACAATGAGTATTTATTTGCAATTATAATCTGTGGGCCTGTCACATTTAGTCATTTATTTTACAGGTTTATTTTGCTGTTGTTTAACTATTAAAGTATTAAGTAAATACGGGTGCTAGAAAGCAAAACCATAGATCTAGCTTCAACTGCAATTGGAGATGATCGTGCTTTAAGAAAATCAAGAAGCACACCCTGCCCCATGAAATCAAATGACAGGTCACCTATATATATATATATTTATATAATTCTCTTCATGGGCAAGACGATGCAAGCCGACTATCTAATCATCCCCCCTGCCCCCTCACTCACTCTTCAGGCATATGCAACAGACCATTTTGCTACCACCCCCACCCACACCAGTCTGGTGAGCTGCGTTTCACCCCAAATGTTTACAGCCAGATTGAATTAGTGACAGCTATTACGGGCAGATAATTTAGCTTTTGAAAGATTTGAAACTAAGGAGAGGTGAGAAGTTCTGCTTGATTTTTTCATTGTCGTCTGTAAACTGTCATCAAGGACGGCTGCTTCAACTGGGATTGGAGGGGGGGAGGGGGGAGGGAGAGTAGTGTGTCAAATTCACAAATTAATTATGAATTACTGTAAAGTAGAAAATAAAACAACTAAATAGTGGCGTATGTTTACGACGCGGGTAAGCTCGTTATATTTAAATAACGACATAATCATAATGACAAAATCACTAATGACCATAGCAAACTTCAAGTAAGTTAGTAAGAAGTAAGTAATCTGATGTCATAATCTGATGTCATAACCTTGCCAAAGGCACACACACCACTGCAATGTGAAAGTTAAAGTAGAATCATAGAATGTAGAGAATCTTTAGATCTAATTTTCTAGAAGTAAACAGTTTATACTAGTGGTTATAAGAAGATATTACCCCTCATTTCATTTAAAATGCCCATCAAATCAATAGAAAGCTATTTTTCTTTTACAACAAAAGCGGGGATATTAATTAAAGCGTAAAGCGAATTAAAACAAAATGTGATGGGTTATCCGTAACTCTCTTATGAAAAGAAATTATTTAAAAAAACAGGGAGTATTCGTAAAATTAACATATTTAGTAGATAGCTAGATTCTAAATCTAAATAGACATAGAATACATTATCTTGTATCTGATCATTATTAGTAACAACGTTATAGTTTGTGATTAATTAACATAAAGATCTAGATCTAGCTAGACCTAGAGTCTACATCATTTTAGAAACGAATGTAACATTCCACTACCATCAAAATCTAAATTTAGAAACATGGACAAAACTATTTTGTACATTAAAACGTTGCTGCTGTTCAACATCCGGTTTAATTGTGTAAACAACAACAGAAATGATTATCAGCATCTTTTGTCTCAAAATTAGTGTAAAAAAATATTTTTATTTTACCTTGATTAGTTCCGATTATGTCTTTAATTATAACCCTTGTGCTAATAATTTTATTTTCAGCATTCATACGGATTACACTTTACCGAATATTTTCATCAACGATTTATTAACTGATATCCCCCCCCCCCCCCCATCAACACAACAATCATTTGATTGATTAAAATTTGATTTTGACTGGCATTAAGAAAAAGTTTAAACTTAGACTAGATCCAGAATTCTAGATTCTGTTCTGTAGTCACACTGTATGTAGTGCTTTAGCATGTAATGAATGACCGTATTAGAGAGTAAAGTATCTATTCAATAGATTCTATTGTCAGTGTGATTAACTAATTCAAACTCGAAGTCAAACTGACTTGATGGATTTGTTAGTGGTACTTTAACTACATTTAGGAGGTCTACATACTTAGTGTAACATAATTATAGTATTCACAGTAATGCAGTTTTCATTATACTTTTTTACCTATTCCTTACAGATGGTAAAAGACTAAACTTCATTATGATCTATCTCCTAGACCATCATCCAAGGTACCTTTACTGAACTTTACTCTGCTATTTTCTCAGTCCTTGGGTTTTATAAACTTTTTCTACTCTCAGTGATTTAGAATGTACTAGCTAGTGAATTGTAAAGGCAATAGGCCTATAACTTTTTAAAATCAAATAGTCAGTTTTGTATTCATGTTTGTTTTTTTAGGGTCACAAATATCAAATAGGTTTGCTTAGTCTTATATTAACGTAATTGTATTTATTTTAACAGTACTTTTTTTTCCTCTACAAGTTGAACAATTTATCGATTTTGGTGCCATGGTGCTTACTTTTCATTCATGTGTGGTACCTCATGGTCATTAATGGCAGCAGACACCAACAGCACCAAGGATACAGAGAACGCAGAATTGAAAAACTGGAATGATGTCCTTTGGATTATTGTGACCATTCATTTTCAAAGGGCAATTTAGTTTAAGAAATGAACAAAATTGCTGGAGTTTTACTATTTATGCTGACAGTTATCCATGCACAAGGTAGCTACTTTTAAAATGATCATTACTGATTAAGGGATTGAAGTTGATGAAAAAAGAAAATTTACTTTTAGCTAAATATCGATAGAAAAATTTGTCTCTTGTTTACATGTAAATTGAATAATAAATAAATAATCTTTTATTCAAAGTAAATGCATATTTTTCTTAAATATAAATTTTTTGTTGAAATTTATTTTAATATAATTTGCTACATAAGTTAAATACGTAATATTTTCTTTATGTTATATTATAGAAAAATACTTTTTGTTGTTTTTGTTAGCACACATTTTTATTTAATAATGGTGTTATGCAGATGATGTTCTGGGTCTAGATAGAATGCAGGAGTTTCATGGTTGTACCGGTTCAACAGCTTACATTCCCTGGCCAATAACACTTCTAGCCCAGAAGATGATCATCACCCTAAGCTTTCAAAGGCGTCACAGTGAAAAAAACATAGTTATAGCCACATTCAATAGCATTGGGAAGAGAGAGCTCAATATCATTAACAGGCCTCTAGGAGAGAGGTAAACATCTGCCATGTTTTTATTTTCATCATAGAAGAGTCCAGGTCTCTGTTTGAATGTTAAAGTAATAGTAAAATGTATGCATAATTATAATCTTCTTTATTGATGGTATCACAAAACCTCAACCTTATATAGATCCTTAGGGTTGAAAAAATATCAGTTTGTAGGTTAGGTCTCACAGCTATATATCAAACGCTGTTAAAAGAATAAATTTCTGTTGTTTTGAATCATATATTTTTAAAAAATAAATTTAAAAAAAAATTAAAACTCATCCATTTAGTTTCTGCAATAACATTAAAAATTAAAATTTTTGACCATTAAAGTAAACTTGAATTATAAAACTTATAGTTAACCTAAATCTTTATTGGCCTGGCAAGGTTTGTTACTGTTGAAAATGTTAAAATTATTTAAATAATTAAACATGTTTTGAACCTTTCAAATTCCACTTTCTCTAATCCCAATTAACCTGCCAAGTAAAATATAGATTTAACCCTGGTGATGTTGTGGCCTTCCCAGGTTAGTTATTGCTGGTGAGGACTCTGGGATCTTCTTGAAGGGGATCACATTTGATGATGCTGGCTTATACACAGCCCAGGCAAAACTAAGTCATGACCAAGTCTGGACCAGGACTACCAACCTCACTGTTCATGGTAAGGTGGCATCTTCCATTCAAACATGTAGGGGTCGGCGTGGTGGAGTAGGTAAAGCTCATGGTTGCTAAACCGAAAAGTCTAGAGTTCAAACCCTCAGGCAGATGAGGCTCGTTAGCTGGGGACAGCAACTCTTCTAGGAGAAACAACTCCAAAATTAAACAACTGCTGCCTTGTAGTTTGTTCTTGGTTGGACAAAGGCTATGGAAGCAAATCCAAAAAGAAAAAGCAGGCTGAAATTGGAGTCAATGGCCTCAATGGCGCATAACCAGTTGACACGTAACGCTTAATTGTGTTGGAGGCGTGGTCGAGTCGGCAAAAGGTTTATGGTTGATAAATTCGAACAAGGTCTCGAGTTCAAACCCACTGGCAGATAAATCTCGATCCTCTTCAACACTAATAATTAAGAACGAAGAAGAAGAAGAAGATTCAAACATGTCTTTGTAAAGTTAATTTGTATTTTGTGTCTTGGGCATAACCGGGAAAAAAATTATGTGTCAGACGATAAACACTCCAGGAACATGTCTTTGTAAAGTTAGAGTATTTATATTTTGTGTCTTGGTCTTAACCAGTTAGAGTATTTGTTTTTTGTGTCTTGGGCATAACCGGGAAAAAAATGATAGGTGTCAGACGATAAGCACTCCAGGAACATGTCTTTGTAAAGTTAGAGTATTTGTATTTTGTGTCTTGGGCTTAACCAGTTAGAGTATTTGTTTTTTTGTGTCTTGGGCATAACCGGGGAAAAAATGATAAGTGTTGGACGATAAGCACTCCAGGAACATGTCTTTGTAAAGTTAGAGTATTTGTATTTTGTGTCTATGGCATAACCGGGAAAAAAAAAGGATAACTGTCAGACGATAAACACTCCAGAAAAAATGTTTTTAGTTGCTGTGGTAATTTAATTTTAGGTTTAGTATTAGGTTCAGAAATGAGGGTTTGGGATATGGAAGGATTTGGATCAGAGATAAGGCCAGCAAGTCATATTTGTAATTTGGGTGACTATCAGTAGTCTAATATTAGTAAATTTTCAAAAATAGGTAATGTCATTCTTTTGAACAATGTCTAGGTTTTGCTTTAAAGCTATTAAAGTAAATGTTTAAAAAATCCTAATCTAGAATAATGAGAACAACTACAATGTTCTCAATAATGCCTTAATAGAAAATATATTTAAACTACTCAACAAAAATTGTTTGTAAAAAACATATACATTGAAAATTGACTGTTACCTTTCATTTCCAGTGCGTCCCATTCCTCACAATGGTAGGCTTAATATAACACGATCTGAAATCATTACCAACTACAACAAGCGTACACATTGTGTAAATTTAACATGTGGTACACTAGAGTATGCTGGCTACCCACCTGCCAAATTTGTTTGGTCTGTAAGTATTTTATTGTCATCAGCTGTAGTTCATACTACTCAATACAAGTTTATTTATTCTAAATAGATTAAAAAAAAGTTTTAACATAAAACAAATACATTTAAAATTCCTGATTTTTCATAGTACTTTTTTGTTTAATACATGTTTTTAAAAATAAAAAGATTCAAAATACGCTTTAAATAAAATTAACACATTTAAAATTCTTGGATTGTCAGGTACCAAGTGGGATCCTTGAAGTGAAAGTAGCCACAGACTACTCATCTAGTTCTGTACAGATTTGCTCCCCTTTTTATGGGGAAGTCACATGCTCTATAGCAGGGTATTCATCTCTCTGTACTTATGATCTGATCAGCAAGTTGCATTTAGATTTACCTGGTAAGTTTAGGATATTTAACTTACTGTCCTTGTGATCTGTTCACCTAGTTGCATTTAGATTTACCTGGTAAGTTTAGGATATTTAGGATATTTAACTTTCTGTCCTTGTGATCTGTACATCTAGTTGCATTTAGATTTTCCTGGTAAGTTTAGGATATTTAGGATATTTAACTTTCTGTCCTTGTGATCTGTTCACCTAGTTGCATCTAGATTTACCTGGTAAGTTTAGGATATTTAGGATATTAACCTTCTGTCCTTGTGATCTGTTCACCTAGTTGCATTTAGATTTTCCTGGTAAGTTTAGGATATTTAACTTTCTGTACTTGTGAACAGTTCACATTGTTGCATTTAGATTTACCTGGTGAGTTTAGGATATTTAGAATATTTAACTTTCTGTCCTTGTGATCTGTTCACCTAGTTGCATTTAAATATACTTGATGAGTTTAGGATTTTTCACTTTTTTTCTGTACTTTTTACCTGGTTTCCTAGTTGCATCTAGATTTACCTGATGAGTTTCCATAATACAATTTACGGTGCAAACAAATGTATTAGTATATATTATAATTTTGAAAAGAATTGTTGGTAAAGCTTTTAAATATACTTTTTAAAATAAATTTAAGTTTAGGTTTCAGGATATTATTTCTGTTAATTTAAGTGTCTAAAAATGTATTTAGTAAGGGACTCAAGTGTAAAGATGTCAGTGCATTGCCAAGTTGGCAAATGTGTTCCAAAATATAATTTATTGTATTATTTTATAAACACTCTAGCATCTGGTTATTTTAATTTATTATTGTGGATTGCTGTTATATGGTGATATTAGGAGTAAGTTTTTATTTTGACATCTTAGGTAGACAAAAAAAAAAATCATTGTAATTTCAATTGAGGAAATAGTTCTTTTTTAATTAAAATTATCAATGTTAGTAAACACTTTCAAAAGATTGCATACTGTATTATTACTTGTTGAAACAAAAAAAGAATTTATTTAATTATAATTAAATAAATTAATTATATTTAATAATAATAATAATAACTAATAATTAATTATTATTATTATTTAATTTTTAATTATTAAAAATTACTAAACCAAGTAAAAACAAAAAAAATGATGTCACATTTTTTAACACTCACTGATAATGATAAAACAAGTAAACACATCCACTAATCATATTGTCATCAGGACCACCTAACAATGGCACCAGCACACAGGAAGCTTCCATGACCAGGGACCTGGTGCTGATGATTGTCATGCCAATATTAGCTGTGATACTCCCTGTCACTGTCCTAGCCATCTGGGTGCTGAGGTACCTGCTCAGGGCCAGACCCAGGTACAGAGATGAACATTTTAAGAAGTGAGTACTTCTAACACGTTTACTTCTGCAGGGTGTAACACCTTTTTACATCCATGCCTAAGGCACGTGGTGCAGATGAAATAGAGTTCATCAATTACCTCAGCATACAGGGGTCATCATTATACCCAGCCGCCTTATTTTCTTGAACGTGAGTCAGGTACTCATCAGAGCTCTGAATTGTATCCTACAGACTTGAGCCCTGGATTCAAACTCGAGACTCTCTGCCTAGCTGTAGTAAGCTTTACAATCCAACCACATTGTCCCCTAATTGAACCTAATGTGAATATGTATGGTTAAATTGAATACACTTTTAAAGTTATTCATATTACTGATTTTTGTGTGTAAAAGTACTAACAGGGGATTGCATGGTTATGCTGTGGAGTGCATGAGTTTTAAGTTCAGTCACTTACTAAAATCCTTAGTATGTCCCTAAGTCCACCTGAGTTTGGGAAAGTAAAGGTGGCTGAGTATAGTGATTGCTACACCATCCCTCCAGATGATTTGTAGCAACTGGCCAGCCATAAAGTGTACTTTTTATTGTATTGCCAGCTAAGATTTGGAAAAAAAATTCGATAGTAATATATTTGTTGGTGGAAGTTGGAAAAGGGGGTTTTTAATGTGAATATTGGATTTATAATTTAAAAAATTTACACCATAAAAATTAAGGCTATTCTATACTAAAATAGCAGTTTCTTAAATTTTAAAAGTATATTTTAGGTTCGATTAGCAAGCATGCTAACTTTTATAAACAACTGTTTTTTTAAACTTTTATAGCAGAAAAGTCCTTTTTAAACTTTGTAGTAGAAAAGCTGATAACGAAATTGATATTGAGGAGAACCTTACCACGGAGCAAACACAAACACATAATAACGAAGACCACAGTGACCTGGAGAGCGAGACCGAGCGCAAAGAGGAAATTAGGGATTCTGAGACTGACATAGACAGCGGCAATGAAAACAATAACATAGATCATATTCTACCTGTTGAGAATGATAATGAAAGTCATAATGAAGAAGAGGAGGAAGAAGAAGAAGATGATAGTGATGAGGAAAGCGATGATGAAAATAGAGGCAATGAAGAAAGACATTTGATGGAAGGTAATTTAGTTTCCTATAATTAAATGACAAAGTTCTTTATTATTTTTAAATGCAAAACTAACAGCACACTGATTTTACTACCTTTTCTACCAATATTGTGTTCATTGTTTTTTAAATGTATCTTAACAAATCTTTACGTAAAAAGAATAAAGTTGTGTTTTTAAAATAATATTCTTATTTCTAGCATGTTTATTTACATATTAAAAACAAAACAATGCAATATTCTCTATGGAAAACAATGCACCTCCAACTCACTGAGGTTTGCCACATGGCACTGTACAAAGCCAAACAGTTGTGCATAAGCCTGTTTAGTGTTTTGACTTGAATTATCATTAGCATTGTTTTATTACCTTTCTTTAAATTTTCAAGTGCTTTCTTTAGATTTACAACCCACACCAAGACTTTTAAATTTCATAAATTAATATGGATAAAATAACTGTCATTTCACCCCTCACTGAGTCTTTTAAATTTCACAAATTTATCTGGCTAAAAAATGTATTTTATTTTTATATATTTCAGATTCTGCTAGTCCAGTCAATTAATTTTTTTCTGACCCTTCAAAAAAATTAGGAAAGGATTATAACATGTTAGGTTAGCTGAATACAATTTTCCTTACTGTGTTTGATTCTCTGGGCAGCAGAGGTGAAAAGATTGGAACAGTTTTAAGCTAAATAAGTGGAGGGAAACATTTGGACCTACACAGTTCAATAATACAGATCAGTCAGCCAGTAAGAAAATGGGGGAATTTAATGTGTCCCCTTAAAGACAACTCTGTTACTTGTTTTTTTGTTGCTTTTTTTCTTTAGTCAAAGTCCTAATATCATTTGCCTTTTACACATTATTTGGCCTTTTACAATAAAAATGTCTTAGTTTTCTTTTTACACTATTTTACAGTATACCATGTTTGAAATTATTTTAAACTGATCAATTATGCATAAACATTATAAATTTAATAATTGAATTGAGGTGTAAGTCATTCTCATTTATTTTACTGGATCTAGTACTAAGCAGATTTTCTATTTTAAGAGTTAAATTGTATGTAGCCACTTTATTGCCACTTTGTTTTAGTCAATACATTAATACTTATAATAACTATGAGTTCTTTAAATAAAGAAAATTATAATACTCAAACAGCTAACAAAAAAAATAAAAAAATAAACATTTAAAAGCATGTTAGTGAAAAATGAAATGTGTACTTAATTAATTTTGATAATAATTAGCATATTTAAAAAAAATAACATTACTTTTGAAAATAATACTTAAAGTTGATATTAGATATTTTTAAGACTTTACTTAAATTTCTTGTAGTTTTTTTTCCTGAAATTCAGGCAACAGAGACTTCATTGTACAGTGTAACGACTGTCCCAATGTAATAGGCTTAGAGGTGTAGAGCTAAAAAGCTGAACAAGCCTATAAGTCTATGACTTAAAATTGATATTATTTTATAGTGAAAGTTTTTATACAATTTCTTACTCTCTTTCTTACTTGGCATTTTTTTAAGGTTGTATTTTAAGATGTAATATTTAAACTCAATTATGATAAAATAATTTAAAATACTTGTTAAAAGTTGGTTAAATTTGTTTTGCTATTAAAAATGGCCAAAATAATCAGTAATTAAATACCAATGTAGTTAAAAATGCTCTGGATTATAAAACTGTTAGAACAACACATTTACTATGTCTCATTGCAATTTCCTTGCCGAATATTTACATCTGGCTGATTATATAATCTTATTCATTGCAGCAACGTCATCTTTTCTGCTCATGCTTGTATTTAGCCCCGCCCATCCCATTTCTCCCCCCCCCCCCAGCATGAGCCCAGTACTGTTTAATTAATTAGTGTCTACCTCATCCCATGCCTTCAGTTTGTGTGACAGTTTTTAAACTTCTCCATTATACTCACTCATTAAGGCAGTGTTTTAGGGGTAGTTACCATGTGGGTGTTACAAGTTTTTCCTAATTGTATGTTGGAGTGTAGATTTGCATAACATACATTGGATTGGGAAGCAAAGCTGATAACAACATATAATGTGTTGTATAGCTTATAATAATATGTTATATGTGTTAAAATATAACTTATAACATCATATAATTGAAGTATAGCTTTTATAGGGGTTTTAACAACATAAAATGTCCTAAAATTTGGCTTATTAGTGCTTATTCATTGTTTTGAAGCATATTTTATAGTTACTGTGTGAAAAGAAAACCATCATACATCAACTATACAGGATATAACATGCATTGAAGTTTGGATTAAAACATTTTTAGTTGTTTTTTTTTAACTTAAACATGGGTATGTATAAATAGCCAACCAAAGTATGGTATTAATGTACATGTTTCTGAAACAATTTTTTTGTAAATAGCTCCTGTTGGACATCACTTGTTTTTTTTCCCCCCTTGAATGATAAAATGTTTAGATCTGTTAGCAATGAGCTAAAAGATGAATGTTGATAAACATAAAAAACAAGTAAAGTAATAATTCAATGTAAATTAGATTTTATGGTAACTTAAGTTTTTTTTACTCTATAAATAATAGAAAAATTGTACATCTTTTATCCATCAACAATTTTACTCTTTGTCTGTTACGTAGTTTTTGGCTTTTTAACTCTTTCTATGACAATAACAAACTACACTTTTATAATCTTGATGATATATTTCTTCTGGAAAATACGTTTTCTTGATAACTTACCACATTGGAATTTTATTCCGGTTTTTTCTCCACTTTGTCTTTTTAATCTCAAATATTTAGGTCATATTATCTTTGGCCTGTTTTCTTAATATAAAAATATTCTACTTAAAAACAATTTATTGTACTTTCCAAAACCGCTTAATAATAATAATATCTGAAAACATTTAATATCATATTTCTCTTACTCACTTTTTAATAATGATAACTGAAATATTAGCTTTGGCTTCTTATACTAAATGTTAAATTGTTCTCCAAATGTCTGCTTCTTCAAGAAAGCAATAACACACCACCCCCACCCTCATACCCCCACCCACAGAGTCGACTGTTGACAGCATGTACCCTAGCTGGCAGCTTCAATGTTAAACCCTGCCTGGACACCCCTGTGGTTGTGAGCTGCCTTTTCTTAGTTAGACCTAGCTACTGCATGAGACCAAAGATTGTTTCATAATCAAAAACTCTGGATAATCAAATGATAGTTTTTAATTTTCTCTCGAACTCTCTCTGCCTTAGAGATACAAATCAAATATGTTATAGAAAATAGGACAATAAATTGCTTTCAGGTTATATAACTGCCAAACTGGTTTTCTTTTTTAACTTTTCCACAAATATAATCAAACTAAAAAGTTATTTTAAAAAAGATTTTGATCCAATCATAATTAAAAAAAAAGATTAAAATCAAAGTTGTAGAGGTGAATTTATTTATGTAGTATTAATGTTTTAATTTTAAAAACAAGCTGGCTTGTGAATTCGTTATCTTCTATTCTTGTCAACATTATTAAGGCTATTGTATAGCTTGGTGTACTTATATTTTATTCAAAACCACTTATATAACTTAACACTTTTGAAGAAACAGCAACCTGTAACTTTATTTTGTTTTTCTTTTTAAACAGGTAGTAACATAAGACGATAGTTAAGTTCCTATTTTGTAGAAATCAAAAGCAACATTTTGATTTAAAAAATACACATAAAAATATAGCATTTGATCAATCAATAATATAATACTTTGGAACTAGTTTGAAAAAGAAATTCTAATTAAAAGAATCACTTAGTGAATAATTACATGTTCGGATAGTGATTCAGTAGGGCATAGATAAAAAATATTAGGATGATATTCAAGTCTAAAAAAGGCAGTTATCTCCTTAAAAGTTAGCTCATACATACATACATGATTTTTTAAAAATACATTTTTTGTTACTCAGTTCTAGCATGACCACGTCTTTTTCTTTTCTGTTTAACCTTAAGTTGCAACAAGTCAAACTTTCTTTTTGTCCCGGTGCTCAAGTCATTTTTTAAATTCAATCTATCGAGAAGTCATTTTGCTACTAAATTTATCCAGACAAGTCATTTTTAAAAAAAACTAATTTATCATGACAAGATATATATCAAGAGATCTCTACTGCCAAGCAATTTATGACTTCGATCTATTACAAAAAGTCACTTTTTAATTTTTATCTGTCTTGGTGATTCTATTAGATTTTTCATATCAAACTATATTCAATTTTTGATTTTTCATAATGTATAGAACGAACCAGCAGTAAGCTTGTAGAATTTTGTATGTATTTTGTTATTCTATGATTTCTGTTTTACAATGGTGCTACATGAGCATTCATTCTCTGTGTTTTTTTCAAATCTATGGCAACATAAATGTAACTATTCATATTTGTTTTCTTTATTTAACAATTATTTTATTAATTTGCATTATTCTTAAATTTTAGAAACAATTTTGTTTTCATTACTTCTCATTAATTAACATTTTTTAAATACAATGTATAGATGTGTGTTTTGATATTTACAATCAAGTCTATACTGTAAAATAAATAAAAACACATTTACCACCCATTACAAAAATTTCACATTTGCATTATATCTTAAAGTGTCATGGAGGACACAAAAGCAGTCTCACCATTGGATATTATTTATAGCTTCATATCATCTAAACATTTCCATTTAGCTATGAACTTCTTCCTCCATTAAGTTAGATCTAAGTCAATCATAAGCAACAATCAAGTTACTTTAAATTATTATTTTTTTGCATTTTGCAAGAATATCTTTATACACTATTGTTTAAAAAATGTTTTTTTTATCTTTTGCTGTTCTAATGATATACATACAGGTTATTAATTTTTCTTACTAATTTTGTGCCATACTTTGAATGTACTGTCTTTAAAGTTGTCAATGTTATTATTCTTGCATTGGCGTTAGTCTTTGTTGTGGGAACTTGTTTTATGTAAGCCTGCTCTCACCTGTGCCCTGCATTGTTAATGCTTGTTGTCTGCCCTTTAATTAGCAATAATTAGAACAGCTTTTTAGCTTCAGTATATTTAAAAATATTTTAGACTTAATACTTTATAATAAAATTTAAAAAAAAAAATCATGTTTTAAAGTTAAAAATACCCATTTGCAATAATGTTGTAATTAGAAGTAAATTGTTATCATGTTGTGATAACTCCAACAATATTTTGTGAGTTGCCCTTTTTAGATTAGCCTTCCAATGTCTACTTTTATCTCCTATAATGTACTTTGTAATGAATTAAAACAGTCTTGTCCGGCTAATATCATAAAATGGGACCATTGAAAAGATTGAGGATTAGGATGCCTTGAGATAAATGTGTTTATTACCTTTAATTTACGAGGAACATTGAATCTCTGGAAAAATTGCAGACTTAATTAAATATTTTAATATTAACTAAAGTAAACTTTGATTTTCACAGTTTCCGTTGTTCAAACATCAAAGAAAAAACAAAAAGAAAATAACTTGTATCTGTTTTATGGTACATTTTACTACAATTTGTTATGAATAATAATTTTAAAATGTTTTGATAAGTTATAGTTATTTGTGATACAGTCTTGTTCTCTTCATTCCATGTAATTAAATTTTTTAATTCTGTTTCTGTTAGGCGGCCAGCTATTCATTTAACACATTTGACACTAAACTGTTACAAGAAAAGTAAAAGTATTCATGCTTTGTTCTCAAAATGCACAGTTTATTTGAAGGGTTCAGTAGTAAAAGTACTTAGGTGTAATTTTATAGTTTTGAGAAAAATGAGTTTTAAATTTTTTTTAAAATGAGGATGAAATATGTAATATTTTTTCAACACTTTTATTAAATTAAACCACTTGGGTATTTTTTTCGTGTTCCAAATTTACAGGGATGGTGTAGGGAATGTAAAAAATGTTATGCAGGTCTCAATTCATTTTTGAAAAATGTAGCTTACGTACTTTTGTCACTGAGACCTTTAATTATAAATCAATTAATCAGGAGTCTTTGTGGTTGTAGATGTTACTAAAGATATTATATAAATAAATTTTTGAGAATCAATACTTTGAGCATGAGAAATATAATATGAATAGAAATTTAAAAAAAAAATCACATTTATTTGTATTTTTAAGTGGTTACATATAAGGATTTTTAAAACT